CCCGCCCCGCCGCCCCAGGCCTCGCCTCACCTCGGGCGGCTGTGGGGACGGAGGCGGGACTCTCCCTTCCCGGCGCCCTGTCGAGGCTCCCCGCGTGCGCCGGCCGAAAGCGCTCCCTTCGCCACCCGGCTGTGAGGAAAGCGGTGCAGGGAAGGAGCGTGGTTATGACCATCTTGCCGGTATTAATTAATTATCAATTTTCTACAAACCAGATATTTCAAAACAACTTCGATCTCTGCTCACATAGTTCCCTCCATGTGTTTCCCCAGGCACGCGGGAAAGAGGAAGCTCATCCACTGCAAAAGCTTTCAAAGAAAGTTGCGCAGTTGAGGCGTTTCTTAGAGGATTACCAGTCACTTACACCAGTGGTTACACACATATTGGTGTTTGTGCTTTGGGAATGGCAGCAGATTTTTGCGTTCGGGATGGGACACCATTGATTTTTGATTGTGGGATGGCAGGTTGAAGCAGTTCTATATATGGACCGTGCTCACAGAGCAGAGAGCACCTGTGAATGACAGGGGAAGGACTAACTGTTCATTGTCTCCTTTGTAATCTTCTCAAATTTTATGGTACTTTAAAACATAATGGATTTTTTTAATGCTGGGTCTAGTTTTTTATAGCAGGTGTTCTCTGGCATAATTTTTTATATCTTTTTGTCCCCCTCTTTTGGGATTTCCTGAAAGCCAAGATTTAAACAAGTTGCTTCCTATTTTAGGTGCCTAACTAAAATAACATAAAAGGACTAATTTTTCAGTGAAGTGCTTATACTTTCTTAAAGAACTGGAGCCTGGTGTGTATTTTGAGTCAAGGGCCAAAGGTGAGGGCAGTCAAAATAATGAATTATTCCAACAACCAGACAAGAGTATGTAAAATTGTGAAGTCTTTACAAATTTAAGATAATGTTTTCTATACTTTCATTTGCAACTGAGTTAATTTTTTTTTTTAATTTTGTATTTTTTTAAGATACACTTCAACTACAGTATAGTTCTGTAAGTCACAGTTTCTCTTGACAGTAAAATATGGTTCTGTTTTCAGATATTTCATACAGTATTAAGTGAATGTTTCAGTGGGAAGATGCATTGCTTGTATGTGTCCATTTAGGTGTCAGACTGAAGAATAATGAATTAAAGTGACTGACATAATGACAACTGTAAGACAGAGAAGGGTCGGAAAAGGCACAGAAGTAGCTGAAGATCAGCCTTCAGAGGAGAAGAATGCAAAGCCTGATGGGAGAATTCTGTCTGGTGAGTAAATGAAAAGGATTGTATCATTATGGCTTTTTAGTATTGTTTAGCTTTTGGTACCTACCCTAAGCACAGGTTAGAACTAGGTATGTACCAAATGAATTTTTATACTTGAATATCAATCACCAAAATTAATTGGGTAAGACAGAGGGTATGCAGATTACTGCATGTCAATCTCATCTCTAATTTAAAATCCTAATAGAAGTTGGTGAGAACATTTTTTTCAATTTAGTATCAGTGACACACTATCAGATATCATATAGCTGTCCGTAGGTTCTTGAACAAAT